ACGACCAGCGTTCTTTTTTGACAAATGATGGGGGTTCATATCCCAGCTGTAAACAGGTGATGTTCCAGCTATGGTGCCTTCCAATGGTGGATCCACGATAATGAATCCTCCCATAGCCTCCCACTTTATCAATTACTTAATTCAAGGGGTGTATGTTTTTTGATATGTCTTGCTTTCCGTGGTTGTTCGTATATTAGCACCATTTCTTCTGCCAAAGAACTAGTGGGGTGATTATGGCAGTGTTGTCCTACAACGAAGTTCTTTGAAAGTGGTAAGCCATGTTTTTCTAAACTTGTTTTTCATGGTTTTTCCAAGTATTTCCGCAATGTCCACAATTTCATATATGATATATGCTTATGTGTCAAAGCCCTCGTAGCCTACCTTATAAACTAGCTGGCTTTTAAGGATGTTGATTCCCCAGTCATCTGGTAAGTTCCTAGGTTTTGACCCATCCCCATATGATTTCTGGTTGGTGGTTTGGAACATGAATTTTTTTGACGTTCCATATATTGGGAATTTGATCATCCCAACTGACGAACTCATATTTTTCAGAGGGGTGGCTTAACCACCAACCAGATTTTTTTAAGGTAATCTGATCCCCCATCATTCCGCCTCTACAAAAAACCAGGTGTCAGTGGATGCTCGGTCTCTTTTTGTTGGTCGGTGGCGGCTCAGTGCCTTGACTTAGCCTTGATGCGTATAGCGCGGGTGGATAGATAGCACTTTTAAGGGTGGTGGAATGTGGTGGATAGATAGCACTGAAACATTTTATATGTGTTGATTGGTGTTTTTTTTTTTGGGAGCTATAATGCTATACTTGTTATACTTGTTCATTTGTTGGATATTATTTTATAATAATCTAATAATCTATATATAGTTTCTTAAGTCATGGGGGACCCCTAGGTCGCCATGGTTTTCAATGCTAAGTTGATTGAGCCATGACTTGGATGCTTTGCGGGTACCATGATTTGGGAAACCTTCAGTGGTTAAATGGAAAGGTGATGTTTATCGAGGGATAAGGAATCCGTCAAAACAGGCCAAAGATCAAAACGATGGCCCCAACTCTCCTCAAACAAGGCCATCGAGGCTACTAGGCGTGCTAGTTCCATACCGGATATTGGGGCGAAAAAAGCTAGGCTTGTAAGAATCAATCCTCCCAACCATCATTTTTTCCTGTACCCAAAGATCCAGGCCATCATATGTGATTGATGATTCAAGTTTTTGTTCACATAGTTGTGACCCCATGTTCCCGGTTCCCGTGAATTCTTACACTTTTGATAGTGTTTGGTGACAGCGACACCTGTCGTGAGGTCTATTTGGTGCACCAAGAGCTGGAGAAACATCGTGCAAATGCTGAATACCTCGCTGAGAATCATCCCATGTCCCAGAGGCGATTGGGCCTCTAGGGTTAACATGTGGAGAACAAAAATGTCGAGATAGGCTGTGAACCTGTCATCTCGGCATGATGATTAGTAGGAGTATGTAGGAGTAACTATCATCCCGAAATGGTCGTGTTTTTACAAGTATATTCATTTATCCAGAATATTTATTCATGTATCCAGAATATTCTTTCTGACTGGCTCACTTGGAATACCCTGTTTCAACAGAAGTATCAGTTTGACATCATGGATTTTGCAGTGCAACGATGCTAGAGGAAGACAAGATGCCCATAAGCACTGGACCCTTGATCAATCACGTTCAAACACAAAGAACTTACCCTTCCGTAGAATCAAAGGTGGCAATGGAGAATCACCAAATTTTGAATGATTTTCACGGGTAAATCGTCATAAATCATCTATTTCTATGGGCAATGTTCGTCCATGTTCCATTTCGCCAACTGTTCAATCACCGGGTATCTCTCCCAGCGAAGCTCAGGAAGCTTTAACACCGATGCGTGTGGAATCAGCACATACCCTCTGGTAAACGTACAAAAAACGATGGAAAATGGCCCATTTATAGATGGTTTACCTATTAGAAATGGTGATTTTCGATAGCTATTATGGAAAGATCCACCATGTTTGCTGGTTAAATCAACTATTTCGACTGGGCCATTTTCAAGAGCAAACTGTTAGTTTACCAGAGGGTAAATGACACGTCAGCAAAATTGTTTACAGAACATCCCAATGCTTCAATGATTCGTTCAACGAGCAACTCACATCTAAGAATGAGCCGCCCATAGTGAAAAAGCTGCGTGGGCGCAGGTTTCACCTGGTGGTTTTGGCCAAGTTCATTTTGCAGGACGGAAGGGACCCGTTGAGGTGGCTGCAGGATGGAGAGCAGGTGTAGTACGTTATATAGATGGAGAGATGGTGCATATCTCTTACCTACCCATGACATTGTGTCAGAACATGATAAAATAATGACAATGTATATAATATATATATAGTCTATAGTGATGTAATTGTACGAAGTCATACCTTGTTGTTGGTTTTATCCATCATCTAAAGCTAACTCCTTTGGAGGACGTCCCACAACAAGTCTGCTTCGTCCTGTACATCTTCGGCTGGTACGAGGCGAAAATTCTCTGGGACTTCCGGCAGCAAAGCTTAAGGGATATGAAAGGTACAAGGTGAGGCCTTCCGGTAGTGTTTGTTGGTTTGTAAGCCCAGGAATACTAGCTTCGTATAGTTCGCTATATCATTTATATCCACCTAATCAACTCAGTTAGGTTCACCAAGTGAACGGTGCGTGAACTTAACTCTCGTCTGGCAGCCTCACCTGGAAATTGATATGGGAGTGGTGAAGGAGCGAACAAGCCTGGCGGGTAAGTGATGATGAGTGAATATCCCAACAAGATTCAGGCTGGGATTTTGAGGATGTTCAACAAACTGTTTTACACACATTCATCAAACAGCAGAGGCGGCACTTGATCAATTGTCCGGTTTGTGTATCTTAGAACTGAGAAAGGGTGAATGCTGCTACTGCTACTGGTCAATTTGTGTTTGGTTCAATATCACTGACTACCCCCCAAAAAAGAAGGATTTAGATAGGTTTGATTTGACCGTTCTAAGACTTTTGAAGTAGCTACTCACTCTTGGCAGCGGCTTGTGTCAGGCAGGTGGTTTACGGTGTCAACTGTGTCTCTTCGATGCGAAGCATTGCGGCCGCTTGGACGCAGGGTTGAACAAGCCTCAAACGGGAGATTTGAACCAACAAAAGATGTTGGTGATGTACTGACTTTCAAAAACAGTACCCCTAGATAGTGGATGCTTTTTGATTGACAAGTAGTGTTTGGTTTTACCAATAAGACATGGTTGGAAAAAAAAACTGATTACTCATTCTAGTTGGTGGTTTGGAACATTTTTTATTTTTCCATATATTGGGAATAATAATCCCAACTGACTAATATTTTGTTCAGAGGGGTTGAAGCCACCAACCAGTCATGAAATGAGTCAAAAAAACACAGCAGGGAAGCATCACTGTACCCTTGGCCCTTGGCCGTCTTGGCCATCTAACGGCCGCCGTTTGGGGTGGATCTGCTGTGAAACACAACGGGGCTATTTTCGTTGAATTATTGGAACTGACAACGCAGAGAGGCCTTAAATGAAAGATGAAATCTCAAGAATGGGAGGGTAGCCACAAGAAATGGACGTGTCCAAAGAAGCAAAACAACACATGTCAGAAAACTACGTCAATCTTGGACGGATACTTTAATCCTTTAGTCTTTTGGTATCAATGGGAATATCTACTAACCAGCTAAGTTTTTTTTTTTTAAACAGGGTATCTGGCTGATTGGCAATGTAAATACTATTTATAGGCGATGAACAGCCATTTTGATGTATTTATGGGTATTGATTTTACCCTTGGTGAACACCGAAATAGCTTTTCCGATCCATAAATCTCAACTTGTTTGAATCCCTATTTGTGGAATCCCTATAGAATTTCCATTAAATAGCCATACAAAAAGCCTCAAAAGGCTATGGGTCAATACCTATAAACACCATTTTAAGGGGATTAACATCCATAAATCCCAGCTATTCCTGGGTTTGTTTAAGGTGATGTGGCTTATTTTCCCAATGGATCCATGAGTTGAGGAATCTACATAGTGAATACTTTCCCACGTCCGTGTTAAATAGTACGAATGTATCTGGTTGGTGGTTTGGAACATGACTGGATTATTTTCCATTTCATAGAAAAGGGATGTCATCCTTCCCATTGACGAACTCCATCATTTTTCAAGATGGGCACATTGCACCACCAACCAGGTATTTTTGTTGGGGGTGGACCGCGAATCAAGTCCCAGCGATTTTGGCCACCCTGGCTTTTGACACCAAAATGACCCTTTTGACCCTCCAGGTGAGGAGGACGCCTTCCATTTCAGCAACATTGTCACGGCAGGTGCGATGTTTTTGGGCGTCGGTTTTTTTGTTTACAAAGGTTGATTTAAAAACACAGAAGATATATGAAGACATCATAAAACCACTAAAAGTGTATTGATATGATATGATATGATATGATATGATATCATATATATGATATATGATATATGATATATGGTATATGATATATGATATATGATATGATTACTGTACATGAAAGTTCAGTTATTTCAATATGTTTCAATTAAATATTAGTGTATTCACATGGTAGAATAGACGGTTCGTAACGTGTTCCTCGAACGAGGTTGACAGTTAAGTAGGGAAGTCACTGGAAAATACGACGAGGTATGATATGTGGATTTGTTTGTTGGTGAAGAACACCGAAACGTTTCGTTGCAGTAGGAACAACAGCATCGACTGCTAATTTATGAACATTTACCATCTGGTTATTTGTTACATAGCCATGGAAAATCACCATTTGTAATAGGTAAACCGTCTATAAATGGGCCATTTTCCATGGCTATGTTAAATAACCAGAGGGTATCAACATTTATCAATGCTTAAGTGTTGTTGTTTTCAATTGTGTTCCATGATTTTTCTGTGCAGCAGGGTGAACGAACAGTGGAAGTGAAGCAGGCAGTGGAATGACCAACTAGTTACTTTTTAAGGCTCTGTTTGACTCGTATTGATTCATGATGCCAAGGAAGATCAGGGTGTTGTGAACAAATACCAAGCATCAACAGATCCTATCAGCGTCCTACTTGCATTCATAGTTTTGAGAACTGGAACAATAGACAATGACACTTTTTTCATACAAACCAAATAAATCATTGGGAATATGATAACAGATTTATATTTACATGGTATACGTGATGTCCAGTGTTTCCACCAATTGACATCAAAAATCAGGTCAATCTATTCACCAACAATCCGTCCATCGCCCGCGTCGCAGGTTGTATCCTCGCATCCTCTTTGGCGAACCAACTGCTGATTCGCCCTGTACGGAAGAGGACCCGGACTTGAAGGATGATTTCCCGTGCCATGGTGCCATGGTTTTTCACGGGGATATCATGCAGGATGGTGCTATCCCCAGTTATGTTTGTTCATTTTTAAGCCCATTTTTATTTTTTTTTGTGAGTATCATTGGATATGGGATATCATGAAAACTATCATGAACATATCATGAACATATCAGATGGGCTATTTTTTTTTACTAATCTGCGTATCATAAACCAGAGTGATTTATTGGAGTTATTTGCACGCACCAACTTATTTATCGTTTGGGGGCCCCACATTGTGGGAATATCATAGAGTGTGGATTATAACGACACTGGAATGATGTTTGGAAATCGGGGAAGAATCCCCAGATGAATGTATGATAACAAGTGATTTTCAGGTTAGGGAATCATTATAATTCAGCCAGAATCAATGATGAAAGCCTTGAAATTACCTGAAATGTGATAGAAACAAACATGGACACACCAACAAAGATCGCGAGAGAGTCTAGTGCTAAGAATGACTAGTGTATGTGTTATCCCTTTTTTGCTTCAATGAGTGGTGATGGTAATGTGAAGCAGGAGATACTCAGAAGACGATGTTTGCATGCACCTTTGGATTCGCGTTGGTGGAACGCCTGGTGCCCCAGGGCGACTGCAAAAAGGTCCACAGATAGAGCTAGTGGATGCTGAGGGTTTACTAAGAATTGCTGCAAAAAGTACGATTGGAGTCATTGTACTCACATTGCATGGTTTGTGGTTTGGAACCATGGAATTTTATTGAAACCCCAATAGTTGGGATGATGATCCAATCTGACGAACTCATATTTTTCAGGGGGGTAGGTATACCATCAATTAGATCACAGTGTATCTCTTCTTTTGTGGATGTGGAGTCATTTGGAGGGTAGTTGACCAATTGAATGTTTCCTAACATATCTAAAATGGTGGTACCCCCTCCAAGTCATTAGACCGTGACTAGCCAAACAACCATGGTGACTTGGGGATCCCCATTTTGGAGAAGTCCCCAATTGGCGACAAATTCTATGACTAGTAGTTCTTTTTGTGTGAACTGATCAGCCAATTTATAGCTCACGGTTCTTGACCTGCTGGATGTTGCTTGGCATTTTTTCAATCCCGGTCTTGGAGAATCATCGCACATTGCCGGGTGAAGATTTGCAGATTTGCAAGAGATGTACAGGATGTGGCCCCCAAGATAGCTAAGTTGGTTTGTAAATGGCTTAACTATGGTTTATGGTAGATATAACTATAGTTAATGGGGATTATAATGGTTTATAAACCAACTTATAACTGGGGGGCCCCATCCTGTACCCTCTGATCAACCATGGCGATTGGGAACTCCCCGAACTAGCCATGGAGGTCTTGTTCGCTGGGAGAACCAGAAAAAACCATCGAACTGTTGCTGGCAGATGTTTCATTGCCATGTTACCAGGGGGAAATCCTGGGTTTTGGATCGTTTTGCGCCAAGCAATCTAGACCGCCAAACAGAGTTTGGGGATGATGAGATCATCACACTTTTCGTGAAGATCATGTCATTCGGAAACTGTGCAAAAAATGATTTGTGACTCTGAAGAAACGGAGTTATCAATGATGTTTAATATTTAATGTGAATATCACAGTATATTATACTCGTATAATATAGTATATATATATATTATATAATATATAATATAGACATATATAGACATATATAGACAAGTTGGCTTATAAACCCCAGTCACTATGGTAACATCCCCAGAAACCCAGTCACATTAACCAAGTTATTCACTGAATCAACTTAACCATCATTTGGAGCCTCACTTTGTAGCCATTTATATATATATACATGGGTTTTAAAAGGTACCCGGGTACCCCCCCAAATCATCTAAAATTAGACCATTCTAGCTCTGAAGCCTATGGTTGAAATGGGTACTCCCATTTCAGGAAACCTCCATAGATAATGATATAACCCCACACGCTGTGATTCAATCTCGAGCACTACCAGATGTGCTCTACGGGGTTTCTTTTCCCAGGTGTGTGGCTAGCATGCCGTTTACCACCGGCCTTTGTCTGTCTTCGAGGTGCCGAAGTTCGGCCGATCAGAATCAATCATCCAGAGAAGATGAGACTTGAACTGCTTGGAATAGCGAGTATCTTGGAATCTTGTCTGGTTGGTGGTTTCAAACATTTTTTTCCATTTCATATATGGGATGTCATCCTTCCCATTGACGAAGTCATATTTTTCAAGATGGTTATTGCACCACCAACCAGATTTTATTTTCCTCCTATATTTGACATTGTTTTCCCATTGACTTTCATATTCCTCAAAAACCCACTATCATGATATATCATGATCATGACCCAATTTCATATTTCATAGTTCCATATAATGCCACCAGGTGTCAAAGTATAGACTAAGTAGACTTGATCTAGAATCTAGACTTGATCTAATACTATAATTCCATACTGTCATATTTCTCCCAGTTGGAATCTTGTCTTGGGATGTTTTGCTGCTCTTCCATGGAGATTTTTCAGCGCTCGCCTGCGACTGTAGCCAGCTATCCCTTCGGTCCCAAGATTTGGCTAAGGGACACGTTGTCCGAACATCTGCTCCCCCAGAGATATGATCAATGGGAATTTCAGGATCCTAAAATGGAGGTACGTTAGTACTATATAAGGCCATATGAATTGTGGGGATATTCCCTAAAAAATAGGCCTGAAATATAGGCCAAAAATATATGGTAGGTACCTCCAATCAATCGGTTCCTGAAATGGCCATTGATATGAAGGTTCATCATTCTGGGTAATGGTGCATTTATGGAAAATGGTGCATTTATGGTTGATTTACCTGAATTTGCATATCAAACATATTCAAACATTGTGATTTTCCATAGCAACCAGACGGTAGGCATTTATCCGGGTAAATTTGATCACGACCTCACTGCGATCTCACTGGAATCATGGTTAGGATTGGGTGAAATTACGGTATCCCCAAATGGCCCAACATTTCAGGTTAGTGAACTATTATAATTTACCCAGATCATTTTCCCGCCTTTTCCTAGGCTCCAAGCTATACTAGGTCATCGATTGGGCCCCCTTGATGGTGGGGCGGAAATGATGAAGTTTCCCTCTCTTCTTCCCCAAGAAAACCACTATTTCTTGGGAGCGACCCTGTTTCCCCATCTTGCTCAATGACCATAACTTGTTGGTGGCTTAGAACATTTTTTATCTTCCATCATATATGGGATGTCATCCTTCCCATTGACGAAGTCATATTTTTCAGAAGGGTGGCTCAACCACCAACCAGTATGTGTTTCATGGTATATAGATAAACAATAGTTAATATGTATGAATATGTCACTTTAGAAATATCTATGATCCAATCTGACGAACTCCATCATTTTTCAGAGGGGTTATTGCACCACCAACCAGATAAAGAAGGGGGGCCCACAGAGGAGCCTCGTGTCAGAGCCAGCGCTGGTTCACCTACTCTTTGCCATCCCTTGTCTACTGGGCTGGCTGAGTATTTCAGGCGGGAAGTGCTGGTCTTTTTACCACACAAAATATTGGGATACCATTAAAAATTGGGATTTAACACAAGATAACTATGTGCAAAACAAGAGTTTGTTTACATAGTTTTCCAGTTGTCCAATGTTTTTTAAATTGATGGTTAAGTATCCCGTAGAAAAAACATCCCGCTAAAGATCCACTATCTAAGAGGTTTCCTAAGTCAAGGGGGTACCCCCCAAATCATGCAAGTCCGTGGACCATTTTAGTATTATTGAAACCCAACTTGATGATCCATTTTAAGAAACCCCCTTTTTATAGTGGCATTCACACAATAACCACTTTGGATTTATCTATGAAAAACAATAGTTGACTATGCCAATTCCCCCTTTCATATTGCACACCTTTCCTAGGGCAATCTTAGATGGGTGCTTTAATCCTTTTATCTTTTGGTGTCAATGGAAGTATCTACTAACCAGCTAAAAAAAAAGTTTTTGCAGGGTATCTAAGATTGGCAATGATACTCTCTGGTAAACTAACATAGCTATGGAAAATGACCCATAGAAATAGATGGTTTACCTATTAAAACTGGTGATTTTCTATAGCTATGTAACCAATTACCAGAGGGTATTACACACCTTTCCGTACATTTACCACTTATTTCGTGTGCAGGGCTTTCGGCCGAGCAGATTGGAGGATGCTTTTTTTTTTGAAAAATCACCACTGATGGGTCAAATTTGGTTGAAATACGTCAAACAAATGACATGTCCAATACTAAAAATATCTAAAAAGAACCCCTCTGTTTGGATGACCCATACTTCTCCAAATCTGGATGACAAGTTCTCTGAAAGCTGCAATGCTGGTGTAGTTTGCTCTTTACAGAAAAACTTTGTTTGTTTTTCAATGTGTTTGCCAGCTTTTCCTGTGTACAGATCACGTTCGCGGTATACTATAAGAATAGCAGAATTCAGGTGATCGAAGGCCTCCGAAGTGTTTCCCAAGTATGCAGACAATTCTTCAAGATCCATGTCGTCGAGTTTTCCTAAGTCATAGGGGTACCATTTATAGATTGGGATTTTCCATGAAATAACCCATCCAGCGAGCTATTGGGGTACCACCCACTAGTTCGTTATATCTACATATATCTACCATAAACCATTGAATTCAGCATCTTATAAACCAACTGAACGCTATCTTGGGGGCCCCATCCTGCATGTGACATTCGGACTTGGTCCTGAGATGCTGCCGATCAGTCGGACAGTTGTCGTTTTTACCTGGCCGAAGCTCGATCCAAGATTTCCGATGAATGCAGACAGACAGACATACACCTATCTGTTGTTAAAAACTACATGTTGGAATATGAAAAATCAACCTGAATGTAACTATATAATATTATAAATATACAATATATGCATATGTAAATATATATATATATATGGTTTCAGAGATTCATGCAAATGCCATACCGATACAATGTATGGAAGCGAGAACTGCATGACCTAACCACCTTGGAGTGTTTGGCGCATCAGGACCCAGAGCTAGATTGACGGTTCTATGCGAATCCTGGGATATGTGAGCCATGTTTCTTCAAAGAAACATATGTAATGTGGTTAAAGCAATAATAAACCATCCCCCAAATCACCATAAATAGGTTGTATAAATCATTCCCAAATGGGTGGTTTACTATTGTTTTAACCACATTAGTATTATAATGTATTATATACTAGAATCTGCAGAATAGGCTCCTTTGCTTCAACAATTTGGGTCAGCTGATCTAGCCTGCGGTCCCAAGATTGAGGAATTTGGAAAGACAAAGCCGAGAAGCTATCAATGGCTGGAGATTTCTAGATGATTTGATATGGTTTCTGGTTGGTGGTTTGGAACATTTTTCCATATATTGGGACTAACCATCCCAACTGACTAATATTTTTTCAAGATGGTTAAGTCACCACCAACCAGATTTTATTTTCCTCCTATATTTGACATTGATTTCCCATCGACTTTCATATTCCTCAAAAACCAACTATCATGATATATCATGATCATGACCCAATTTCATATTTCATAGTTCCATATAATGCCACCAGGTGTCAAAGTAGACTAAGTAGACTAAGTAGACTGTAGGTCTAATACTATAATTCCATAGTAACCCTTACATACAATGTGGGGCCCCCTAGATGGCCAAGTTGGTTTACAACTGGAATAACTGTGGTTTATGATACGCAAATAACTATAGTTACTGGGATTTATGAACCATCAAACATCACTGGGGGGCCCCACATTGTAGGTAGATGGTGAATATTAGATGGTAATATTATGGTTAATATATGTGGTTAATATATGTGTATATATATATATATATGGTGAATATTATGTTTAATTCCGGGACGTTGGTAAACCACTTCGCTGACGACTCGACAACCCAATGGCGGCATCCTCTAGCAGCGATCCAATGGGACAGGCGGGGCCGGAAAAAAACAGCCCTCTTGGCTATTTCACATATGGAAAATGGTGATTTATAGTGAGTTTTCCCATTAAAAATTGTGATTTTCCATAGTTATGTTAGCTTACCAGAGGGTAATGATGCATTTATGGAAAATGGTGCATTTATGGTTGATTTACCTGAATTTACATCTTAAACCACCAGAAAAACTCTGGAAAGCCATGCTGGTTTCCCGGAAAACATCTATATACATACATCTGGGTAAATTTGATCACGACCTCTCTGATCACCCTCACTGGAAATCATGGTTAATAAGGGGAAACATCCCCAAATGGCCTTAATTCAGGTTAGTGAAATATTATTTCATTTACCCAGATACATGGTGGACTCTCCACAATTATGTTAGTTTCCCTACTAAGCAGAGTTGTTCTAATCTACTTGAAATAGCATGTAATCACAAGGTGGAAACATGTCATTTGACAATTTTATTTCGCCGATTTGCCTCTTGTCTCTTGGGTGTTGGGAGCAAGGGTGTGAAAACCATTGAACAGAGCGATGGTGAAAACCCAACTGTTGGTAAATCATCCGAATGCTGAAGTGATTGGCCTACACTGTGAGGCCCCCCAGTTATAAGTTCGGTTATAAGCCCCATTAACTATAGTTATAAGTACCATAAACCATAGTTATTGGAGTTATCACCAACTTAGCTATCTTGGGCCTCACATTGTATAAGTCACCAAACAAAAGTCGGACAGCCATCAATTTTGGGTCCCAGGCTGAAGGATGGACTTGTGTGTGAAGGGAGGACACTAATTTGACCTTCCATTCCTTTGCGCACCTAGGATTTTGACTGAGACATAGTCATATTATAAAGTCCAGTGTCAAAAAAAGATGATATGTCGCTCCAAATGTTCAATCAAGTGAACGAGTATGTGGATTTGCTTGAATATAGGGTACCATTAAATCATATTAAATCTGTTGGTTTACCATCATTTTCCAGCACCCAATTTTCAAAGGGCACAGGGTGACACTGACATTCGTTTAGCGTTCTTTTTTGTGTGGAAGTCACTTCTTCCACCAGAGACCAGGCGACGCCAGAGGAAACGCCGGGCACCAGTACAGGCGAATGGGATTCTAAATCATGGAGCATCCGTGATTATCCGCATAGCACCTGAGAAACAGGTGCTGAGACAGATGAAAGTTCAGATAAGTTGAGAATTTCTGCAGTGTTCGCCTGCCAAATTGGCCCCCAAAATCTATTGACAATGGAAGATGGTCAGCAAAAAACGGAGATTTTTGAGAAATCCCTATACAAATATACAGTATTCAAAATCAACTTGCAAAACCTGAGTGTGTCTGAGAATGGGGAATACCAAGGTATAGCTGCAATTCGCGAAAAAACGCTACGTTGAAACGTCTGGAAACAACATGATTACTGCAATGTGGTCCCCCCCAGTTATAAGATGGTTTATAAACCCCATTAACTTCAGTCTTAGTACAATGTTGGGCCCCCCAGTTATGTTTGATGGTTTATAAACCCCATGAATACTATAGTTATTTGCGTATAATAAGCCATAGTTATTGGAGTTATAAACCCACCAACTTAGCTATCGAAAACGGGGGCCCCTGTTATTGTGTGATTACTGATGACCGGACCGTTACCGTAATAATCAAATCTGAGCTGTTCGCCATGGATTTTTTAGACCCCAAAAACATGGATTGAACTCCAAGTCCTTGGGAAATCCAATACTTGGGGAATCTATAGGGAATCTATAGGGAATTGAACTTCGTTGGTTAATTATTGGTGATATGTGCAAAATTAACCAATGATTAGTAATGGTTATTAATGATTAATAGGGGTTAATGCTGGAGCATTAATGGGACATCCTATTCTTGTGTTTGCTGAAGATGATTGTTTTTTCATTTTCTCCATGCGACATCCAATACTTGGGGAATCGATGAAGGGAATATTGATTATTTTTTGGTGGTTCCTTAAGCAAATCCATGAATCCGTAAACTTTCCAACTTTCCAACTTTCTTTTGTGGCTTAACTTGGATCCATCCATAGTTTCCACACAGTTTCAGCCCAGTTTACTCGCCAGGAACCCAGTCCAAGGCCCGAGGCTTTGCGGCTGCCTGGGCTTCAAAGTTGGGACAGAAGGCCGATTGTTGGGGCGAAGATTGATGGGTATGGTTCTGTTCATTTGTGTGGTATATGTATGTATATGTATGTATATGTATGTATATGTATGTATGTATATATATATACTGTATATGGTTTTTGCATCTACTATATCTATATTAATGGTATTAATAGATGTATATGGTATATATGCTATAGTGATTGATAAATACGGTGGATGGTTAAGAAATCCTGCACCACCAAAAGGATGGTTGAAATTCTATAAATCATGGGATAAACCATATGTGTGGTATATGTATCTGGTTGGTGCTTTGGAACCATGGAATTTTATGACTTTCCATTCAGTTGGGAAGAATCATCCCAACTTATTTTCAATTTTTCAGAGGGGTTGAGACCACCAACCAGTATAAATATATGTGTATATATATACTGTATATGGT